CCTTTCTTTTTGGGATTTATGGACTCATGGAAAAAAATTGTATGCAACTTCTCATTTTTTTTTAATGTATGTATACACACATAAGGCCTATCTACTGTAATAACAATGCAATAAATTTACCTGACTGTTTTTAAGAGGAGAAAACCTTGAATTTTAAAGAACTTAAAAGACACCTCAGAAGTCGGAAAAACTCATTTCCCGCCTTCTAGGAATCAAAATATTCACGGGGGAGAACCGGATCCCCCTTTCTTTTTGGGATTTACGGATTAATGGAAAAAAAATCGTATGCAACTACTCATTTTTTTTATGTATATGTATACACACATAAGGCCTATTTACTGTAATAACAGGGATAAATTTACCTGACTGTTTTCAAGCCGGGGGAAAACCTTGAATTTTAAAGAACTTAAAAGTAATTAAATGACACCTCAGAAGTCGAGAAAACTCATTTCCCGCCTTCTAGATATCAAATTTTTTCCGGGGGAGTAGGCCTACCCCAACCCCCCTTTCTTTTTGGTATTTATGGATTCATGGAAAAAGAAATCGTATGCAACTACTCAATTTTTTTTATGTATGTATACACACATAAGCCCTATCTACTGTAATAACAATGGGAACAAATTACCTGACCGTTTTCAAGAGGGGAAAACCTTGAAATTTGAAGAACTTAAAAGTAATTAAGACACCTCAGAAGTCTGAAAGACTCATTTCCCGCCATCCAAGATTCAAAATTGTTCCTGGGGAGAACCCCGGAACCCCCGCTCCTTTTCTTTGGAGTTTATCGATTCATTGAAAAAATAATACGTATGCAACAACTAATTTTTTTTTTTTTAATGTATGTATACACAAATAACAGGCCTATTTACTGTAATCAGAATGAAAAAGTTTACCTGACCGTTTTCAAGAGGGGAAAACCGTTGAATTTTGAAGAACAAAGTCATTAGAAACCTAGCTCAAAAGTCGAGAAAGGTAATTTCCCGCCATCTAGAAATCAACATTTTCCCGGGGGAGGACCCCCGGATCCCCTTTCTTTTTTTGGAAAAATGTTGAACCCCCCCCCCATCCCCTAGGTTTTTCCAGATCTGCATGATTCATATTCCCATTCATCTTATAAGTGGCCCCCCACTTTGAAAAACGTTCCGCCGGCACTGAAACATGACGTCAAATTTTGCATTCATAATGCGAAGTTCACAAATAAGGCAAAACTAAAGCCTGTTATTGCTAAGCATATCCAATCACAGCACCAGGTGAGTTGATTTTTGTCTCCTGTATATTTCTTTTTAAAAAGTACATATCAGGCTGAATAAAATATAACCTATAATCGATACCGGTATTTAAACATAAGTTGATTTTTGGTCGTAATAACATTTTTAAACTAGTTTAATGTATATTTGCAATGATCTAATTGAAATAAGTAAAGATTCAATTAAAAATTTAAAGCTAACAGTCAAATAATAATAGTGCAGTATTCCTGATAGGCCTTCATTGTTTTTATTTGTTTATTGTTTTTCCTTTTTTTGTGGGGAGGGGGTGGAGAAAGGTAATTTATGTGTTTTTAACGATTAGAAAGGTGCTAAGGCATAAACAATTGTTTGCCCTTGAATGCCCAAAAATGGATGGTGTAGCGGTTGGGCGCCTGTCTCCTGTATATTTCTTTTTAAAAAGTACATATCATGCTGAATAAAATATAACCTATAATCGATACCAGTATTTAAACAATAGGCCTAACTTTGACCTAGAATGGCGAAATCTTACACCAGACATATCAATTTACTCGTTTTTCTTTATTTTTGAACAAAAAATGTAATTTTTTTAAGGGTCCTTCACAATTATCAACATTTTCAAAAGCGTACAAAACGTACGTTGGAAGAGGGGGTAAACCCTGGCGTACGCTTTTTAAAAAGTAATAAAATGTCGGTCAAATTCGTCACAAACACGAAGAAACTGCTATATAATTTATACCCTATCTAGGCTACCGGCGAAAGTTTGATGAACTCCAGTTTCGTGGAGTAGCGAGTATATGCATTGATCTGGGTGTATAAAGCCTTGTTTTACGTTACGATATATTCGCTACGGAAGCACCTAAGTGACATTCGACTTGACGACTTGTCAAGATAATTATGTTGTCAAGTCGACATAATATATCATGTCGACATGGCGAGATAGATTATCTTGACAAGTCGACATACTAAAAATGTTTTGTTGTCATGACGAGATAGGTTATCTTGACAAGTTGACATAATAAAAGTTGTATGTTGTCATGGTGAGATAAATTATCTTGACAAGTCGACATAGTAAAAATGTTATGTTGTCATGGCGAGATAGATTATCTTGACAAGTCGACATAATACATATTGTATGTGCGAGATAGATTATCTTGACAAGTCGACATAATATAAGTTGTATGTTGTCATGGCAAGATAGGTTATCTTGACAAGTCGACATAATAAAAATTGTATGTTGTCATGGCGAGATAGATTATCTTGACAAATCGACATAATATAAGTTGTATGTTGCCATGGAAAGATAGGTTATATTGACAAGTCGACATAATAAAAATTGTATGTTGTCATGGCGAGATAGATTATCTTGACAAGTCGACATAGCAAAAATTGTATGTTGTCATGGCAAAATAGATTATCTTGACAAGTCGAAATAGTAAAAATTGTATGTTGTCATGGCGAGATAGAGTATCTTGACAAGTCGACATAGTAAAAATTGTATGTTGTCATGGCGAGATAGATTATCTTGGCAAGTGGACATAGTAAATTTTGTATGTTGTCATGGCGAGATAGATTATCTTGACAAGTCGACATATTACAAATTGTATCTTGTCATGACAACATAACTTTTATTCCTCCCCGTCTATGCAGAGATCGTAGGAAGCCCGGTAGGACGGTCATGAGTGACCAAATCAAAAGCTTAACTCTCACAACATACGTCGCTTTGGGACTACATTATACAATGCAGTAAGCCACCTAGTTTAAATATTATAAACCTAATCATCAGTAAAACTTGTACGTGACCATTGACATTAATGCACGCGTGCAACAGAAAACAACCTCACAACATACACTGATTTAAGAATACAGGTACAATTATAATTACATAGCTATTTTTAACTTGGATATGAATTTGACCTTGTAGTATGCACGTGCGCAACAAGAGTCAATCTTACAACATACGCTGACTTTGACGCCTACTACATGTAGCACATTAATGTCAACGAGTTTTAAAATTATAAACACAAGTATTTGTAAAACTTGCATATGACCTTGACCTCGTAGTACCATACACGAGCGCAATAAAAAAAATCTCACAATATACGTTTATGTAGGACCAAACAACGCAATAAGCCACCGAGTTTTAAAATTATAAACACAGGTATTTGTAAAACTTGTATATGACCTTGACCTCGTAGTACCATGCACGAGCTCAATAAAAATAATAATAATAATAAAAAAACATACGTTTATTTGGGACCAAATACAACGCAGTAAGCCACCGAGTTTTAAAATTCTATTTCTAATTAAAAGTAAAACTTGTTTATGACCTTGACCTTGTAGTAGCATGCACGCGCACAAGAAAAGAAAATCTCGCATTTGTTGATTTGGCATTACGTACGATGTAACGCGCGCAGTAAGTCACCGAGTTGGAAAATTATAATACAAATCATTTGTAAAACTTGTATATGACCTTGACCTTGTAGTATTAGTCATCCACAATATGCAACATTCTAAAATATGTTCATTTGCCTATTACAAAGTGTGACAAGCAGCTACTACAAAGTGCGACAGCTTGATTATTACAAAGTGCGACAACAGTTATTACAAAGTGCGACAGGTTATTACAAAGTGTGACAGATTGTTACAAAGTGCGACAGGTATTACAAAGTGCGACGATTATTTAAAAATGCGACAGTACAGACCTCTTTGAGTCAGCCTCGCTGTAAGAGCTACCCTCATAAAAGAAAGATGAATAAATAAACATGTAAACAAACAACCAAGGAAATCAATAAATGTTTAAAAATTTTAAAAAGCCATGTTAAAAAAGAATGTATGCTGGCTGAACATACGCAGTGAACTACTGGTTTTCGAAATGGGTGGCATGCAACTGTGCTATTGTATACCGGTATTCCGAAAAAACAAACACCACATTTTAAAGCCATTCTCCGGAAGAACAAAATAATGATATATAGTACAACTTACGTTTTTAAGATTCTGAAATTGTTAATTCAGATATAGATTTTTTAATATTTAAAAACTTTGGGGAAAAGGGGCGTAACCACTTAACCAATCTTTCTGAAACACCACTTTATATTATAAAGGTCACTCACACGTTCGATCGACGAGACTGCACCTAGCGAAATGTAGGAGACGTTAATTCTATCCTAGTTAGTTCTATTAATATATTCATTTTTTGCATTGGAACATACTGAGCGTTCACTACTTTAAAACGTCAAATATCGATTCGGAGTATTTCTCATGACGCAAAAACGCCATTGGAATGGCATTGCAGTACCCGCAGTTACTTGGGGATCGGATGCATCACTAGCCTCCAAGCGTAAGCTCGATGACCGAGTGGTTAAGACACCATGCTAGATATCTGGAGGTCATGGGTTCGATTTCGCCTCCCAACACCCCCCCCCCACTCCCGAATCACTTGCGAGTTTTTTCCCCAAAACGTACTGAGTTTTTGGAAAGTACTGAGTATTCAGGACTATAACACGTCGGGTAGGGCAAACATCGATTCGGTCATTAATCAATCATAATCATAAATGAACGGAGTCCTATTAAGAGACATTTTACAACGCCCCGATATTCATGAAAAGCATTCTAGCATCTTAAGCATTACATTTCCTATTTTGCGGTTACAAAGGTTTCATTTTCAATCGAACCAACAGGCTTTCCTTACTTTGTAATTTCTAGGAACAAGACAAATATCACTTTTGAATATAAATTAGGCACGCCATAGTGAGTTTTGATTTTGAAAGACGACAGCATGAAGATTTTTAACTCAGCTCTCTTTATTTTGCCTGTCTTATGTACCTCCGGTAAGTGTTACTATTACAATTGAAGGAAATGCTAGTTAGATCAGATTTCAGATTCAGATTCAAATATTTATTACGTCAAACTTTCAATGCATCATGATTGGTTTCCACGGTTCAAAAATACAAATAAGACTTATTATATCTCTACTAAATACTTTGATATGATGACAGTGTAAAATATTGATTCATTGAATTGGACTAAAAAGAAAGATTGCACATATATGAGTTGTGAGAATTATACTTGGGGCTTATGTAAGCTTAAAAGAGATGAATTAGGACATTTCGTGAGCCCACACCCACCTCAGGCCCACCATGGTTCGGCCTGAGGTGCGAACATTTTAGAAAATTAGCCCTAGATGACCGGAAATAACACTTTTATATAGCAAAATTCATCGTCATCACATCACCATTAGGCTTATATAGTAAAAATGAAAGCCAACAAATTTCTCATGATGTTTTACCAAATTTTCGGCAACCATAGATATCTAATTTTAAATTGTTTCATTGAAATCTCATTAAGCAACTATAACAAATTGGCCTTTGTTAATAGGGCCAAGCCAGTTGCGTCTGTAGGAGACATGTAATATGGAGCTGATGGGGTGTGGGGGTGGGGGTGGCGAAGGTGACGTGGCGTGTGGTGGCTCAATGTGTACGTACAGGGAGCTAAGCTAGCAAAATAAGGTGATATGAAGTGATTTTATCTACTTTAGCGTGGGGTGTCTACAAAACAAAGACCGAAGACCGAAGACCCAAAAAGGAAGACCCCTTATTTTTTCTCTTTTATCTTAATCATAATACACCAGGCAGTCACAAAATGAAAATTACGGAATTATTTGGACGTCTGTTTGTGCAATTTCCAAAGGTCTTCGTTTTATAGACACCCTATATGGGTGCCTACAAAACGAAGACCCAAGGCCTATAAAACGAAGACCTACGATTATTTCTCAATTATTTCAATGGAAGTATTTCCAAATTATCATAAACCTATTCCCGGGTACATATTTCATTATTTCATCAGAATAAATTAAGGAAAACAAAGAAATACTTAAGGGTCTTCGTTTTATAGACACCCTATATGGGTGCCTTTAAAACGGAGACCGAAGACCCAAAAAAGAAGACCCCTATTTTTTCTCTTTTATCTTAATCATAATACACCAGACAGTCACAAAATGAAAATTACGGAATTATTTGGACATCTGTTTGTGAAATATCCAAGGGTCTTCGTTTTATAGACACCCTATATGGGTGTCTATAAAACGAAGACCCCTATTTTTTCTCTTTTATCTTAATCATAATACACCAGGCAGTCACAAAATGAAAATCACAGAATTATTTGGACGTCTGTTTGTGAAATTTCCAAGACCCAAAAAGGGATTTTATAGACACCCTATATGGGTGTCTATAAAACGAAGACCGAAAAACGAAGACCCCTATTTCTTCTCTTTTATCTTAATCATAATACACCAGGCAGTCACAAAATGAAAATTACGGAATTATTTGGACGTCTGTTCATCATAAAACTATTCCCAGGTACCTATTTCATTATTTCATCGGAATTAAATGAGCAAATATCAAGAAATACTCAAGGGTTTTCCCCAAAAATGAAAAGTTATCTTGAACGCCCTTCACGGGGAATCCCCATAACTCACGCGAACCCACATGAACTCAATCGCTCCTAAACTAGATTGATTAGGAAGTTTGACTATACGCGCATAGCTAGGTAGCTTAAGACATCAAAGCGGAAAACTTGGAGTGGAGATATGCGCGCTCAAATAAGACGTTTTTGTCAAGTTTAGTCATGGTCTTAGTTATGAGGTGACATTTCGACGAAATGTATCACAAAACAAAATGTATTTCAATGTATCCTAATGCCGATATGGTCTCTAAAAGGGTCTATCTAAAATGTTGTGATTTTTGTCAAGGCTCTTGACCCATAAATATATTTTTGCGTACCCACTGGTGGGTCGCGACCCGCAGTTTGCGGAAGGTTGATGTAAGTGTACAAACAATTAACGAAAATAGAATCATATTTATTTAGTAAGGAGTAGGGTACAATTAAACAAATTGAATAATGGTAAACACACTAAATACTGTCTTGTCATATAAATACAGGAGTTTATATTCAAACTATAATCATAAGCTATACATTTTTATATCAAAATGTGATTCTGTCAACTATCAAATACACTGGTTTAAAAGATTCTGTGAATGTGCAAGCAGAAAAAATACTGAAGTAATTCGGCATTTTGATTGTTGAGGCATGTGATGTTATTTCATAAGATGTGCAGTGTCACGAGTTACCAAAATAGGAGTTAATTTAAAACGATGTGTTCTATGCCACCAGAAGTCGTGAGTTCGAATCGCGTGTATTAATTTTTTTTTTCATTTAAGGACATTTTGTATTTTTCAATTACATTTTTTATTTTGTACAAACGAACATTCTAATTATTTAAAAAAAAACTATCTTATAAACTGTTCAATTTTTTTTTGTCTCAAATTGCTTAAACTGTTCATTTATACAAAAAGGGAAAATTAAACAACAAGGCACGATTCGAATTCACGGCCTCCCTTTATGAAAAACACGGCGTTAACCAACAGCGACGTGTCCTGTTTGCGCTAGTGATAGTAATTAATAGCAATTATGAACCGTCCAGCAAACCCATAGGTTTATAACTTACGCCAGTTTGTACCCAGGCGCGTAACAGGGGTCTTGGGTCATGGGG